TATTTGGCTGCTTCCCTTCACTTGGACCTGCAAAAAGAAATCAAGGGTTAGTCATAGGAACCCAAACTAGTTTGGGTCCCTTTATATAGGCAAAGGGGTAAATCAAATTCCTTTTTGCCCACCCAGGCAGCCTATTTTTTTCTTGAACAAAGGCTTTGTTCTTTTGATTGGCCTTTTCTTTTACATTACATTCATTTTTGTAATGACCAGTTTTGCCACAGTGTGTGCACATTTTGTTTTCAGGAAGAGTGAGGTACTTACTTTTAGGGTCCCACTTAGGTGCTTGAGTCCCATAGCCAAGTCCTCTTTTGTTGCTACTGTGATGTTCTTGTAGCCAGGAAAGTGCATCAGAAGCCTTATTCCATTTGCAAGTTCTGTCTAGTTCATGCTTTACCTTCCCTAGGTCTTCTTTTAAAACTCTTATTTGTTCATCCTTCCTGTACAATTCATCTTTCATTTTTCCTAAGTTTTCTTCTAAGATGAGGTGTGTGTGATCAGCTTTCTTCTTTCCTGTTCCTAGTTTCAATTTTAAATTTTCAAACCTAAGCTCTAGGACACTGGTGTCAAGTTCAAGAACCTGGTTCTTCAACTTAGCATTTTTACTGTCACTGTCATAATCCCTAGATTCTAGATTTTTGCACTTGGGTTTTAAGATTGCACATTCCCTAGACAGATCATCCTTCTCATTGTTAATTATCTCAGACTCATCAATGAAGTCTAGCAATAGTTCAGACAACTTTTCTTTAGACAGAAATTTAATCTTGTCTTTGAGAAGAAGGACACTTACCTCTTGTTCATCATCTGATTCTCCAATGGCCATAAGTGCTTGTTCATTTCCAGTTTCATCTTCTGAGTCCTCGTCTGAGGTTTCTCCCCAAGCAGCAACCATAGCCTTTGTTGATCCTTTGTTCCTTTTGGGTTGAACCTGTTCGTTCTTCTTGTTCCTTCGTTTAGCCCTTTCCTTCTTCCATTCAATTTCCCACTGAGGACAGTTTTTGATCATGTGATCAGTCTTACCACATTTCTAGCAACCCTCGTTAGTCTGTTTCTCTGGACCCTTAGTTTGTTGGAGGTTGTACCTCTTGAAGAACCTTTTCCTCTCATTAGGTACTTTTTGAAATCTCTTGTGATCATAGCCACTTCATCATCCTCCAGATCTGCACCTTCAGCTATTCTAAGAGCCAGACTTCTTTCCTTCTTGGGTGCATCCATTTTCATGGTTTGCCTCCTCAGTTCATAGGCAGTGAGATTTCCAATCAGTTCATCCAGCTTGAGGGTAGCAATGTTCTTGGATTCCTGAATAGCAGTGATTTTGCTTTCCCAAGTCACTGGTAAAACTCTTGTCAAGATTTTCTCAACCTTGTCTTCTTTAAGGATAATTCTCCCAAGAGATTTAAGTTCATTTGTTAATGTTGTGAACCTTGTGTACATCTCCTGGATAGTTTCTCCTTCCTTCATAGTAAAATTCTCATATTGAGAATATAGCAGTGTTCCTCTTGATCTCTTTACTTGAGGATTTCCTTCATGAGCCACTTGTAACGTGTCCCATATCTCTTTGGCAGTGGTACAGCTTTGAATCCTGTTGTACTCATCTGGACCCAGTCCACACACAAGCCATTTCTTGGCCTTGGCATTCTTCTCCCATTTCTTCAAATCTTCAGCAGTGCAGTCAGCTCTTGTCTTTGGCACGTCCACTCCTTCAGAGTTCTTCTTTGTAGTTGCCAGGGGACCATCAGTGACTATGTCCCAAAGTTCATAGTCCTCTCCTATGATGTGATCTCTCATCCTGTTCTTCCACCAAGAATAGTACTGACCATTAAAAACTGGAGGCCTAGCAGTGGATTGCCCTTCCCAGTTTCCAGGTGGTGCACTCATCTTGATCTTTTTCTAAGGTGTTAACCTCTTCAAGGATAACCCGCTCTGATACCAATTGATGTTTTAAGCATCAATACTACACAATAGGGGGGTGATTTGTGTGGTACCCAATTTTCGCTTAACTAAACTATAGAAGAACCTGGTTCTTCTAGGTGTACCAACCACTACTGTTTGCGGAATAATAAATACTGAAAATAAAGAACACAGAGATTTTTACGTGGAAAACACCTGGCTCAAAAGGTGAAAAAATCACGACCTACTACTCAGTAGGATTTTCCCAAACTTCCACTAAAATCACTGAGCCAAAACAGCATTTACAAAACTCTTTGTAAACCTAAGGATTAACTCTAATCCCGTTGTGGCACACAGCGTCAACTGCTGCGACAACTTCAAGTTAACTCTAACTTGAATACTCTAGGTACCTAATACAATTGCTTCTATGAAAGCTGAAAGGTACAATGTAAAATCACCTACTACAATTGAACTAGAATAAAAGATAGACACTTGGAACTGGTTCTTCTATCTCGTTCAAGTAGTTCAGGAGTGCACACTCAAATCACACATAAATTGCTTGCAAAATCGCCTTGCTCTTTTGCTCTCAATTTAAGTTTAACTTCTGCGTATGTGCATTACCTGTAAAAGAGAACAACACTGATATTTAATAGGTTAGCAATCAGAGTTTGATTGGGATTCAATTGCTGCTCTTCTATCGTGGAAGAGTTCATGATGATCTTAAACTCTAACACTATCTTCATCCTAGATTGTGTTCTCTTCATATAAGGAGACTTTCTCTCCTTATCCAATATGCAACCTTTTCGATCAGATCAGGAGATATTGCTGCTTGATCAGTAGGATTTATCTCCTTCACGTGCATCTCACATGTATAGGTTGATCATGACTATGCTTCACAAGATGGACCTGGTCCATGTCTGAGTTCTTTTGTCAATCTTCAAAATTTCACATGTTCTTGGGCCAACAAATTAGGAGTCCCAAAATAAGAAAAGTAAACAAAATTACAGGAAGTAATCATCAACAAAGCGAATTTCAAACCCTAGACAGCTTATGTAATCAATCAATTGCTCAAGAATAACGGGCAAATATTGAAGCGAGCAATGAAATAATCAAACAAACTAAAAACTGGAACACAGTCATGAAAGAATTAGTAGAAAAAGATAATCAAACACATAGGAATTTTTTTTTTTTTTGAAAAGTTTCGCAGAAACAGACGAAGTGAAACCTTAGTTTGGAGAGATACTAAAATCGATTAACAATAAAGAGAACAAGAGATTTTTAAAAGAAAACTACTGGATAAACTCAAAATCACTCCAGATCTACAAAAGATCTGAACAGATTCACGTTGAAAAGATGAGGGTTTTGAGAAAAGGGGCGGGGTAAAAGAAAAATCTAACCACAGCCACAAAACCAACGATACTCACAAACATTGATGAACACAAGCGAGGTCATAAGAAAACGAAGAGCCTTAGTCGACTCTGAGTCGAATCTCTTCGAGATTCCCTCAGAAAAACAGCAAGAATCGAACAACCAGTAGATGTAATACATTAGATAGGGTAGCAAAACACCAAATAACCCCATATCTAGTCGGGGATCGAAAGGGGTTTGGGAGATTTAAGGGTGACAACGCTAGGGTTAGGGATAGTTTCAGAGAGAACGGAGAAGAAGAGGGATTCAAAGACGGCGATCTTTGGAGAATGTATAGGGTTTGGGGGGTCATTTGGGTTAAAAAGAAAGGGGGAATGTGGACCGTTGATCTCAGAGATCAACGGCTACGATTAGACTAAAAGGTTTGGGTCGGGTTAGATAGAGATTGGGTTATGGTTTGGGTTAGGTTTAAGTGGGTTGGGGTTTGAATTGGAATTGGACTTGGGGGGTCCGAATTTAGGCATAATTAAAGGGCTATTTGTTAAATACCCAATTTGTTAATAAAATAATTTGTAAAAATAGCTAATTAAATGATAAAAAATAATTTTTATGCATGAAGGTGATTTAAACTAATTACATAATATTATAAAAATATAAAAAATTATTTTTTGTATAGATAAAGTAGTTATGCATATGTATGGGCTATTATTGCAAAATATGCACTTATAGTCTTAACAATGCAAATGTAATTGTAAAAAATGCAATTAAAATATTTGAACACTTATATGAGCATAAATGATGAATTTAGATGATTAAATCATCATAAAGTAATATGACGGATAATTTTGAGTGGGTGTGTGGTGTAGAAAACAAAAAAAAAATAGAAAATACAAAATACAAAAAATAGTAAAAAAATAAATTTTGAGGGGGTTAGCGCGGGAGGAGGGGGGATAGGAGGGTGCAGAAAATTACAAAAATAGAAAATTGAAAATACAAAAAATATAAAAAGTAAAATTGAAGTAAATTTCTAGATAAGTTGTGTTGGGATCCCTTGTTTTGGGTGAGTTTCATGGATTGTATTTGAGCTGTTTAATGGAGACCCATGAGCTAAAATGTTGTATGTAGCCCAACCCATTAATCTCTGAACGAGTTGGGCGGATTGAATGGGTTTGGGCTCAAATTGACACCCCTAGGCATAAACTCGTTCAAAGACAGTGCTATCAATTTTCACTTTATTTTATGTCACCTAAAAATTTTACACTTTACTAGATCTTCAATGCCTTTATTTGTTTGATTCTTCAATTATTTTAATATCAAGAAAATATGCATCCGTTAGATTGTAGTAAACAGGTTAGTAGAACTCGTATATATAATTTTAAAGAAAGAATGAATAGTTTAGACGCTCGAGTTTTGGCAGCATCTTTTACATGTTTATTTGGATTTGGCTTCTTATATATCTCACCTACCCATTGATAATAGAATAATGGCTGGCAAAATTAAGTAGTAACTTTCTAATACAGGGTCAAACCGGCCAATAGCACATACTAATAGTATATAGAGAAATTTATTTACAATAGACTTGTTCAAGGAAAGAATGGTGAGTGGGATAATAGAAGAAACTAACAGGAAAAAGAAGGCAAAAAAGAAAGAAAAGAGAAATGCAAAATGAAATTGGTGGTTGGTGCACAAACCCTTGATCTTTTAGACCTATATAAACCCCAGGCATATGAACAAAATATAATCATCAGTTGGTTTTCCATTCTAAGCAAACAAAAAGAAAACTTTGTGCTCCAAGAGAATATAATGGGTAGTCTCTCATTTGAAAAGGTACTATTCATTACTATTTTCTTATTACCATTACAATCAACTCACCTTGTTTAGTCCAAAAGCCATTTTTGCAATCCCTTCCAAATTGTTTAAAAAAAAAGAAAAGAAAACTATGTCGTCTTATAAATACTAGAGATTGTGCATTGAGCTAGCTACTTATTATTTTTCACCCCTACTCTTCTAACACCTAGCTAAAAGAAACAATGCATTTATGGAAATTAAGTTATTGAATTGTGTAACCATATATCTCGTTTAAAAACTTAAGTTGTCATACTGACACGATGATGCTTGGCAGGACTTTGAGCTATCGGCCATGACACCCAAAGGTTTAGCAACGCCATGTTTGTTTCCGAATGGCGACAACAAGAGGCAGAAGGTGGAGCCACCTGCCCCAAGGAAGAATCTGCAACTTGCTGTGACGGAGCCAGGCTTCGGAAATGACGGCTCTAATTTCTTGGACTCTATCTTGGTCAATTATTTAGATACACTTACTCAGCGAGTCAATTTTCATATAGGTATTATTTCCAGCCTTAATTTCTCGCTAATGACCAATTAACCCTCTCAATGACATGATTAGACTAAATTACTTCTTTTCTTCTTCATCTTATATATTAGGTTATCCGGTGAATATTTGTTACGATCATTATGCCACTTTAGCACCACTTTTGCAATTCCACCTTAATAACTGTGGTGACCCTTTCATTGAGAACACTGTGGATTTCCATTCAAAAGACTTTGAAATGGCTGTTTTGGATTGGTTTGCCAATCTATGGGAAATTGAAAAGGATCAATATTGGGGCTATGTTACCAATGGTGGCACTGAAGGCAATCTCCATGGCATTTTATTAGGGTAAGTGTTGGCATCCAACCAAGAAAGTAGAATACTATAAATTATATATACTCCATTGTTTCCATGCACTGCTACTTCTTCACATTGTTTTCATGCAGGAGAGAGCTACTTCCTGATGGAATATTATACGCGTCAAAAGACTCTCACTACTCGGTATTCAAAGCTGCAAGAATGTATAGAATGGATTCGGAAACGATCAACACATTAGTAAATGGGGAGATGGATTATTCAGACCTAAGAGAAAAGTTGCTTCAAAATAAGGACAAACCAGCTATTATAAATGTTACAATTGGTAAATATGTTTTCCAACCTCTATCCGTTCTTTTTTCTTTCCTTCATTAGTCTTCTTACAATATTTTCCTAATTAATTGTAGGAACTACCTTCAAAGGAGCTGTTGATGACCTTGATATTATTTTTCTAACACTCAAAGATTGTGGCTATTCACAAGATATGTTTTACATCCATTGTGATGCAGCACTAAGTGGGTTTATTGTCCCCTTTATAAACAATGTGAGTTTTGCTTCTTACTTAATTTTGAAAAATTCTCAAGTAATTAATATGCAGAGCGACATTCTGATTATTCTTTATGCAATTTGACAACAGATGATAAGCTTCAAGAAGCCAATTGGAAGCGTCACGATTTCTGGTCATAAGTTTTTGGGATGTCCAATGCCTTGTGGTGTCCAAATAACAAGAAAATCCTANTATCCGGGCGGGCTCCCGACTTCAAAACTTGAAATGTATTCCTCTACTATCCGGGCGGGCTCCCGACTTCAAAACTTGAAATGTATTCCTCTGTTATCAGGGCGGGCTCCCGACATCAAAACTTGAAATGTATTCCTCTGTTATCCGAACGGGCTCCCGACTTCAAAACTTGAATGTATTCCTCTGTTATACGGGCGGGCTCCCTACTTCAAAACTTGAATCACTTCTCCCTGTTCTCGAATGGGTACCTGACTTCAACAAAAATAGACAAAAATAAAGAAAATTTTCTGCCCCAGTTTGGCAGCTGGGCGGATGGGTGAGTGTTAGACTGAACTATTTTACCAACTATTATAAGAATTTGAAAGCTAAGTCCTATTATCCAGGTAGGTCCTGACAACTTCTAACAATTACGAACCTAAGTAGCATCCTCTGAAGGTATTACTCCCACTACATTTGTTGTCTAAAGGTCTTAAACTACTTCCCATTATCCAGGAGGGTCCTGACAACTTCTAGTTAAAAGACAGTTTTAACCTAAGCTATATCTACTGAAGGTACGACTTCCACTATATCTTGTTATCTAAACAGACCTTAAAACTACGTCCCATTATCCTGGAGGGTCCTGAAAACTCCTAATTGAATCCTATCTTAAACATGCAAACTTTGGAATCAACTTACATTCCTTTGGGGTACATTTGTGCTAAATTATGCTACTCATGATTGTTTTGAAATTTAAACTAAGTCCCATTTTCCAAGAGGGTCCTGAGAACTTACCGTCAAACATGTTGGTGCCTGCCTTTCCTTGAGGTGGGTTTCTCCGAAACGAACGAAATTTCTGCCACTGTTTCAATCAAAGAAAAATCTTGTCAGTATAAAAATGTGGTGGCTGGTTTGTGGCCTTGAACTTTGAGGGAGATTGCTCCTTCACTTCCCATGATGACAGATTTCCACTTGAAGACCTTGCTTGTCTATGGACTAACCCCTTTTCTGTCGTCCTCATCACATAAAATACCTTTTCTTTGTTTAACCCCAATATCCCCTGCTGTTGTATTGCATGAACCGGCATTCCTCCAACCTTTGCTTCTCACATGAATCCCAAAGCACGTCCACTGCCCCACTCCGTATATATGTCGTTCTTTCTTGGCTTAAACACTGGCCTCTGCCTTGAGGTCTGTTGCTCCTTCATTTGTCATGATAACCGATTCCCACTTGGAGACCTTGCTAACCACTTTCTTTGTTACCCTTAACACAGAAAATATCTCTGATCCGTTCACCAAACACCCTCCATCTTGTTTCATTGTTCATGAACTGATATGTACCAAACCTTTCGTGTTTCACCAAAAATACCTTAGATCCGTTCAGACCCAATATCCTCTATTTGTTGCATTGTATGAACTGGCATCTCCCCAACCTTTGTGTCTCATATGAATCCCAAAGCACGTCTATTGCACCCACTCCGTGTATATGCTGTTCTTTCTTGACTTAACCACTGGCCTCGGCTTTGAGGTCTATTGCTTCTTCACTTGTCATGATAACTGGTTTTCATTCGAAGACCCTGCTTGTTCCTGGACTAACCACTTCCTTTGTAAACCTTAACCCAGAAAATGCCTTTTCTCGTTCAGACCCAATGCCCTCTATCTGTTGCACCGCTCATACCGACATTTACCAAACCTTTGTGTTTCACATGGACTCCCAAGGATATTGATTGTTACCAACTCAACGCGCATGTTGTTCTTTCCTGATTTAAATCACTAGCCTTGGCCTCGAGATCTATTGTTCCTTCACTTGCCATGATAACTGATTCCCACTTGAAGACCTTGCTTGTTTATTGACTAACCACTTTCTTTGTTACCCTTGACACAGAAAATATCTCTGGTCCGTTCACCAAAGACCCTCCATCTGGTTTCATTGTTCATGAATTGATATGTACCAAATCCTTGTATTTCAGCATGTCAATTGTCACCCACTCAAGATGTATGTTGTTGACATAAACCCCTGGTCCAGTCCTTGAGGTGTACAGCTCCCCCATTTGCCATGATAACTTTGACTTCTGCTTGGAAGGTCTTGCTCGTCACTGCTTTAACACCCTTTTATCAAGCTTATCACAGGAAATACCTTTGATCTGTTTGCCCTAACCCTTCATTCGTTGCATCGTTCATGAATTGACATATACCAAGCATTTGCATTTCACAAGGATCCTAAAGCATGTTGATTGTTGCCAACTCAGTGCGCTTGTTGTTCTTTCTTGACTTATGACACTTTGATGTACTAGCCGGATCCCGTTTTGTGCAATTGGAAAGCTAGTGGCAAATTTTGAAATCATTTCTCACTTGTTATGACCGAATTGACTCAGGAAGAGAAAGTAAACAAGACAAAAGGAACGGAGTGAAGGACCATGGAAAGAGATGATTCCAAACAAGAAAACCACAAAGTAGAAACCTATCGGATGTGGATACCAACTCTAATCACCATGACATGCACCTGCGACCTATTCTGTTAAGCAAATCTGATGCTCAGCTGTTGTCGTACTTTTTTGCCGTGAAACTGGGCTTCGATGCTCCGCCTATCCAATTTGAATCACAATCGTTATTCGACTTGTAGTGCCCGAAGGGTTTTCACCACCAAGCCTCTCTCATTTTGGTCTTTTCTCAACTCACCATCGCCTTATGGTGCCCGCGAGGATTTTCACCAATAAGACTCTCTCATTTGATTCTTTCTCTCAACTTACAGTCGCCTCAAGGTGCCCGTGGGGTTTTTTACCAATAAGACTCTCTCATTTTTGATTTCTCTCAGCTTTCATCGCCTTACCATGCCCGTGAGGGTTTTCAACAATAAGACCCTCTCATTTTCATTTTCCTTGTTTGGACCGGAGTGTTGCCCCTGATACGATTCACCTCTATCTGCTCGACTTGGCATCTCTCGAAGACTAATCGGAAGGTCTTTCGTTGGACCGTAACGTGGGCTTTTGGATAGGGTTAGAAAGAAAGGGTATCAAAGGCTCAAAACAATTCAACATGGGTTCAAAATTACAACTTTCGGAATCAGATTTCTTATAACAACCACAACTTCTGCCCCAGTTTCTTTCTTGGGGACTTTTGGATTTTTATTTTGATGTGACTGAACCCCAGAGAGAGGCTGCCTACGTATCCTTTCGGAATCAAGTCAAACATAGTTCATGTCATTACTTTGTTTGTTTGTGATCTTTCTTTTCCCTCTTTTTTTTCTCTTTTCCTCTTTTTGTTGTTCTTTTTGTTGTTTTTCTTCTCTTTTTATTTTTTTCTTTCTCTTTTCATTTTTCTTTCTCTTTTCATTCTTTTCTTTCTCTTTTCTCTTTTCTTTCTCTTTTTCTCTTTTTCCTTCTCTTTTTCTCTTTTTCCTTTATTTATCTTTTGCGCTTGCGTTTCTGAACTTTGCTATTGATTCCAAAAGAGAGGTATGAAAGAAAATAAATAAGGCTCAAAGGGGTAACAAAGGATAAAGTGTTTAGATAGCAGAACAAAACGCCTCCGTCATTCCAATCTTCAAAACATGCCAAGTACAAATAACACAATTAAACAAACCAAGGAAAATATTTGTAACATCTTCTGATTGTGTCATACTTGATAACCATATCCACACATTCGCCTTCTTCATTTGTTGAATACGAAGCACTATTGGACAACACTCTCACTCTCCTTACCACGAACGACCCCCTGACAATTCGGGCAAACTTGCCTTTAGCTTCAACCTGATGTGGCATGATGCATTCCAATAGGGTTTCTCTATGTTCTATCTGCCCCAGTTTCACATGGTTCGGGCTTCAAATGATCTCAACGTGTTCAAATCTGTTCTCATTTCCCTCAAGTGCCCCTGTCATCTTCAAAATTGTTTCAATGTTTCATGACTAAACTAACTTTTGAGCTCAGGCTGAGAATTACGCATGCATGTCATGTTACTAGAGCCAACAGGAAAAGAAGTGTAAAAAGAAAAGAGAACTAAACAAAAGAAAATGGCTAGAAATAACAAAAAAAAAAAACAGGAAATTGCATTAGACAGGTGATGAAACGGTTCGAACAACAAACCAAGCAAACTAGACTAGGGTTACAACCCTGGAACAAACTTAGACAGCACTAACCGAGTTACTACGACTAAACAAAACAGGCAAAATGAAAGGATAGGAGGGTTTGAGTCACAAGACAATATCCGGATTACAACCCTGGAATAACCCGGACAACAGAAATGACAACAAAATAAACCACCAAAACTCCATTCCGGCTAACCAAGAAATGGAGCGTCTTCCCAATTACCAAGCACGACATCTTAGCCACTGAGTTTCGCATCAATACTGCCAAGACCATTATCAACTTTAATCAACAAGTTCCCAAGAGGATTCGCATGCTCCCTGTCACTGTCATTGACCACAACTACCCCTTCTTGAATCATTCTTTCTATTTCCCTTTTCAAAGAGCGACAATCTTCAATGCTATGCCCCCGGACTTTAGAGTGGTACATGCATCGAACAGCAGGATCAAAGCCTTTCGCATATGGGTCTGAAAAATTGCTTTTGGACACCCGTATCAACCAACTCAGTTCTGTTGTTGTCTACCATTGCCTTTGATGTTGTGTTGTAGAGAAGAGTTACCACTTTAAAACCACAAACCAACAACCTTTCTGGTATGAACACAACAAAATGAAGCCATCACGTTAGCGTTAGGGCATTCAATATAAGATAATTTCACTTCACGTGCAATGCACCTAGCCACAATTATCGGTTCTAAAATGACTTCAAGGGTACAAAGGTCAGTTGGCATCATCCCAATTTGTTCATTTCAACCTCTCTCCTTTCTTTTCTTTCCTCGCCCTTCTTTAGCTCGCTCATTTTTCCTTCCCCCTTTTTCCTTTCGGATTATCACTCTTTTCTTCCCTTTCATTTCTCACATCCCATGACTTCACCTCTCTTTTTTCTTTCTTCTCTCTTTTATTTTCCTTGATTTTTCCCTTTTTTTTTTCTTTCCTTTTCTTTGGATATAAAAAAAGTGATTCGATCGAACCCTATGTAGGTTGCCCACGTATCATGACCCCGCATGAATCAAATCTTTACGTAGTTCTGGAAAAACGGGAATAAAGTAAACAAACTGACATTCTTTTCG